TCTCCTGAGCCAACCACTACTGGGATGAGGCCACAGCTTCAACAGGTCACAGCCCTGGCGAGGCAGTCTGCAGTGCTGTGGTGACTCTGCCAGGCAGGGGCTGATCCTCTGTCCCAGCAAAGTGGAGGAGACCTTGGACTCTCCAGATGGCGTGGGAGGCTGTGGGGAGAGCACAGGGCACGGCTGGGCTCCCTGTCCCCACAGGGAGCAGATGAGCTCCTAAGGACACCTCCTTAGGACCCCGTGAGGCCATGTTTGGGGTGGCTGTGCTGTGGCAAGCCTAATTTAAAGACCAGTGCCTGCACTGACCTGCCCCGTGAATTTTGTTTTTCCTGTCAGCCCACAGACACAACTCATCACACAGATGTGGCAGCTGGTGAGGATCGAGTCACCCCTGCGTCACCCCTCAAGGCTGCTGGCACTTTGGAGCCCAGCGCCAGCTCTCCTGGCCTTCAGTGGAAAATTACTCATTCCCAGTGCCAGGGTCAGAAGCTGAGCTTCCCACCAGCACAAGAGCACAGCTTTGATGCTGTGAGCAGGACATAGGATGACCACAACAATGACTTATGATCCACTTAGAAACAAAATCTCTCCATAAATCAGAGCAACCAGAGGATAAAAAAAGTTAAAAATAATCAGAATTAGCTGTCCCGTGGCAGAAACCAGTCAGCAAGACTTTCATGTAAACAGTCTTGTTTTCCATAGGAAGGTGGAAGCTCTGGTTGGATTCAGGCCAGAGTGGCTGTGAAGAACTCCAGCTTGTGCCTCACCAAGCCGAGCAGCAACATTGCTCCACCAGATGAAAAGTTTCCATATTATTTCCCACTGCTGGGTGATGGATCCCCAGGGCACATGGTGAGGCTGTTTGTAATCATAACAAGTGACAGCACGCTGCTTTGGTGAGGTGAATCATCTTTCCCAGGGTGATGAGTCCTCATCTATTTCCACTCATGTGGTGGCGGCCCTGGATGCCACGAGCGATCCCCAGGGGACTGTGGGGCAGGCGGGTGCCCCAGAGCCCACCGTGGGACCTGCTGTTGAAGAAGGCCTTGCCATGCCCCAAGCAGTGAGAGACTTTAGCAACACACAGCTACCAAAATTCACCCCCCAGGACAGTGATAAGATCTCACTCCAGTTTGCAAACAGCAGCTCCCAGTGAGCACAGGGGTAAATAACTCCCCTGGGCACTTCTTTCAGCAGCTGCCCTGTCACTCTTCAGTGGCTTCATTGCACAACCTGGGACAAACACATGCTCCCACCTTTTGAAGCATCATAAAGCCAGACCTACTTTCCATTTAATAGCTTTAAATAATACCTTCTTAACTCTACTCAAAGTTAATGCATATATTACACACATTTTAATTACATCTTTCACTGCTAACAATGCGGGTGTACTTAATGTCACAAAACCTCCTGATTTGGTGGCTGCAACATCTTTCTAGAGGGATAACTTCAAAGCCTCATCTCCTCGTCACGCATCAAAGCCTGTATTTCAGATTACTGTGTGCTGCCCTGCAGCTCAGCTAAACGGCCTCATTCAAGAAACTGAAAACATGATGAGGCGTTTTTCCTTGGCCCGCCTTACAGCAGGCAGGCTGGCACGCTTCACACCACTGGTTGAACAGTACTGACGTACACAGTTGGAAAAGAAAGCCCTATCAGAATCCTGGATCAGCAAAGGAGTTATGCCCTAACAGTAATTAAATAGAACAACGTACCTTCCAGAATTATAAACAAAAATTAAGCATCAAAGAATTGATTCAAAACGTTCCATGTGTCTTGCATACCAAATACTTTTACCCTCCATTACACCAAAATTCCAGAGGGTCATTTCAGGACACATTGCCATTATGTTGGCACTGAAGCCGCTTCCCAAATGACCATATTTGGTCTGCAGCCCAGCTATGAACTTTAGAAATGTGAAATGGCCCAAGTGGTTTGGTACTTATTAACCTGAAATTCCAGGAGACTGAGATAAAATACTCTGCCTGATGGTTGTGATAAGGTCACCCAGAATCCAAAGGTCATTTCATTTGCCCAAAAGAACCTACTTTTACAGTGATGCTGGTAACTTTGGGGTTGATCCTTCCTGGTCCTCCTCTCACCACAGCAGATGTTGACAGAGCTGCAATTTGAGTAAAAATGGTAAAAATCAAGAAATACAAAACACCTTAAATCCTGGTATGTGGAAGGGGGAGCCCCTTGTCTGGAAAACAGAGCTGTGGTGGCACCTGGAGAGAACCAGTGTGGCAGTGATCGTCCCCACACTGCCCCCTCGCACCCAACATCTCCCCTGCCCATTCTGCCTGTGCTTCCCTGGAGCCACATGCTCCCCTTTGGGGGGGGACAGAAATGGGGCTGTTCAGTGGGGCAGCAGGGGCACCCCAACAGACCAGGGCTCAGGCAGAGTGGGCCAGCCTTTGCACCCTTTGTAGAAAGGACACAGCAGCACTGGTGACCCCAGTGGTACCAAACCCCTGACCAGCACACAGACACCACGCCTTGCCCACAGAGGAGAAATGAAGCTTCAGGACAGTCCCAGGGTGACCTCACACCCCATAGGTGCTCCCCCCCACTGAACACCCCATGAGTCACACGGCGCTTCAAGCCCAGAATAGGCTTCCTCTGCCAGAGCAGGAGGGGATGTGGGCTCACCCTGCAGTGCCTGCCTGCAACCCTCACAGAAAGGCACAGGAAACCTCAGAGATCCTCTCAGTCCACCTCTGCCAGGAAAAGCAACTTTGGGGGTGACCCAAGGGCAGCCAGGACTGTGGCCAAAAGGAAGAGTCTGTGCCTGAAGGGAGAGGAGGAACCCCCACATCACTGCTGGACCCTCATACCCCACTGTCCCATGGGGACCCTAAGCAGGCACTTACACAGACACACATCCCACCATCCATCCCACAGCACCTCCTTGGGAGCAGAAAGAAGATGCAGGGCTGAACTGCTGCCCCAGAGGTAGCGACACACCAGCCACAGCCACCACACGCCCAGTGGGGTCTGCCAAAAAAGCTCGGCTGAAGGGCCCTGGGCAGCACCCTCTCACTGCTCTGAGCTCTTGCCCAGACTGGCTTTGGCATTACTTTCTGTCTCATCACCTGGGAGGAGGGAGAGGCTGAGGAGGGGCTTTATTAAGGCATGTCCCACAGGTGCTGCTCACCTGACATCATTCCATGTAGGGACACAAACCCCAACCTGTGCTGGTTTCACCAGCAGCTTCACCCTCTTGTGCAAGAGCAGGGCAGGCCTGAACTGTCAGTGTTCATGCACCATCGAGGCTGTTTTATGGTCTGATAAGGAACAAAGAGCACACACACAGAAAGTGCAGTAAACAGGGAGATAAAGCAGTGCAGAAAGGAGTGTGAGCTCTGCCCTGCACAGGTCACCTGGACACTGCCTGTCCCCTGCTAATGCATTAGGTGGAGGGGCAAGGGGAGGCTGATAAGCCAGGAGCCCTGGGGACAAACACAGCACTGACAGGCACGGTTCAGGGTCGGACCCTTCATGGGTACCACAACAAACATTTGTTCTTTGATGCCAGGGTAGCCAAAACAAGCCTCATTTTGGGGACAGCTGCAGGTTTTGATGACTTTGACCCCGAGGCTGCAGCTGCTGTTGCAAGCCCTTAGCTCAGGCTGTGCTTTCAGGAAGGTCGGGTGGGGGATTTACAACCCCCAAGACCTTCATTTTCACTCTCTCTTTATTAGTTTTCTCTAGAGCCTCTCCTGCCTGGGGCCAGCTCACTGGGAGACCCAGCAGAGAGGAAGCAGTGCCCAAGCTCTGTTATGTCAGAGGGTCACATGCCCACTTCCCCTTAGCTGTGTGTTAGCAAACACTGGGGCAGCACAGTGGTGTGTCCCTTGCCAGCAACCCGTGCTCCAAATCCCTGTCTGGCCAAAAGGGATTTGTGGTGCCCATTCCAACGTCTGCAGCACAGTCCCTGGAGAGCTTCAGCTGCCTCCCCAGCAAGACCTGAATCTCGCTGCTTTCAGCTGTGCTGTGTCTTTGGGAGCCCCTCCATGAACTGCGCTTTGTGCCAGCTCCATCTGAGCCTGTTCAGTTGGTTCAGACGGTGTTGGGAGCTGTGGGCTGGTGCCTCTGGATCCAGATCTGCATGGGTGGCTGTGTGGGCAGGGCAGTGGGGGTGCAGACAGGCTGTCATGACTGCTCCCAGAGAAAGGAAGGAGGATATGAAAGCATCCTGTAGGCACAGGGAGAAAAATCCAAGATGCTTAAAGATGTCATTTAGCTTGACCTGTTGTTATACCTCCTACCATTATACTTGATTGGGGGCCAAAAATGTGTCTCTGGCTGAGGGCTGACACGTGGCAAAGGATTAAGGGAGGGCAGTGGGATGGTTTTCCTGCAGAAGCCACTTCGGTGACTGAGCCATCCCACCTGCAGTGTCCTCTCTCAAATGTTGTTTTATCCAAACTCATGTGTGCCCTTCCACCTCACAGCACAAGCCAGACCCACGTGCACAAATTGAGACTGCTGTGCTGGGAACACCTGGCCAGGAGTTTGAGGGACTGTGTTGGGGCATCACGTATCTTCCCATGGCTGCCCTGCAGCCCCTTCCAATAGGGCTTCTGGTGCCCTCCAGAACCCCCTTCTGCTTCCCAGACCCTCTCACCATCTACCCCATCCATCTCCTGGTCTTGACCTCTGGCTTGGACTGGCCCAGGGAGCCTGGTCCTGGTCCAGCACTGCCTGGAGTGGTCCCAGTTAGTGCTCAGTCACGGCAGGCATCCCACAACGGGTGTCTCTCTGTGGGGAGGGATCCTGAGTCCTCGTGGAGCAATTGCTCTGCCAGGACAGGGAGGTTGGCTCAGCAGAGCCACTTTTCCCACCAGGGCAAGAAGTTCAAAGTCTCCATGCTGCTTTGTGCTGGGACATGGAAATGAAGGAAAGGAGGAAATGGTGATTCCTGTTTGTGATGGATACAGCTGACTGCTCAGTCTGACCTCCCAACCAGCCGCAGAGGGACGGATGCGTAAACACACACACATACATATTTATAGGCTCACTGGCAGCAACTCATTTTGCCCAAGTCCCTCAAGATGTTGCTCCTCTTCTTACTTGCACTCCTCAATTTCAACCCATCTCTTAGCCTAAAACTTTGTTCCTTCAATGTGAGGTCTTTTGGAGAAACCAAAATAGCCAGACCCGAAGTCGTCGACGCCGTGGTAAAGGTACGTTCGTTTGCCTGGATGAGACGTTGAGTTTTCTGAGGGTTTCTTAGCTGTGGAATCTTGCATTTTATTTATCTCTCACTTTATTTTTCTTTTCAAGTGAAAAAATGAGTGCATAATTTAAGAAGTATTGTACTCTGAAAGTAAAAATCATCCTGTGGTTGAACAGGATGTTTGCTGTTATTTTAGCCTGAGTGAGAATATAACAGAAACAACATTTGCTGTTTCCTTTGGAAAATGGAGTTAGGAAAGGAGGAAAACCTCAGTGCACAGTAAAAGTAATTTTCACTTTGAATCCACAGAGCTTTGTTTTATGATACATTATTTGCCTTCCTTATGTGCTAATCATTCTGAAATATTCCCGTCTAATTAAGCCTATTCTCAGGACAGCAGAGAGTATCTGTCATATTAGAGTCTGATAGAAATCTGAAAAGCTCAATTGCTAATTTATGTGTGCAAATCCTCACCGTCAGGCTTCCTCTGCAGCAGCTGAAGATAACTCTGCCTTTTAAAAGAACAACATTTTAGACTTTTAGCTTTTGCAAGTGCCCTCCAAGATGCCACAGTAAGGGAGAACGTGGTGCTCGGCGTTAGTGGCACGGCTTTGTGTCCTGAATGGCACCAGCGAGGAGTGGCACCATCTGGTAGTTGGGTTTTAATCCTTTGATTGCAAACCACCAGAGAAGAGGGGTTTGTGTGGGCTTTGCATTTCCAGACCGTTCTTCTTGTACTGCCATTGCTGCGGGCAATGTCTACTAAATTATGGGTAATTTAGGTAATTATGGGTAAGTTAGAATTGGCAAAAAGGGGCTTTTTTTCTGACAGAAATCACCCACAAAGTTTAAAGAACAATGAAACCAGGGGCAGAGAGAAGCCCCTGACCATGCTAGGCTGAGTGTGAACTGGGTTTTCCCATAAGGAATCCCAACAGCAGCTGCAGGAGCTGAGCCCCACTGTCCCTCTGAGCTGTGCAGCCCTGTTTTCAGGGAGGAGGTTGCTTTGGGCTCCAGGGACTATTTCCAAGACTGGGAGAGGTGAGTGCTGACTGTAGGGAAAGGGGATTGGGCAGTGGCAGCATCCCAGCAGTGGCAGGGGGTATCAGGCTCACAGCAGTTGCTCTTTCTGCCCCTTACCCTCCACACTTCCTCCTCAGGGGAAAGTGCAGAAGTTTTTCACTCAATCTGAAACCACTCTGCTCCCGAGTTTCCTCTCCCAGCTCGTGCTGGAGCGTGCAGCAGCTCTGAAAGCAGAAGAGCTTCGCTCCAGCCAGTGCTCCCCTCCCATGTTCCCAAGCTGAGTGGCACTTCTTCCACAGAGGACTTCCCCCACACCAGTAGCCACTTCTTTCTAACCCCTTCCTAATCCTCCAAAACCCACCACGTGTGAACTTCCTGCTGCTCCTTCCCCTTGCAGATCATTTCTCGCTGTGACATCATGTTGCTGATGGAAATAAAGGACAACAAGAACCGTGTTTGTCCTCTCCTGGTGGAGAAGCTCACCAGGTAGGGTGGCCAAGGGCAAATGGGCAAATATTGGGAAAGATGCTTGGCAAGAGCCTGTGCTCTGCTCAGTGTCACCCTACTGGGGTGAAATCCTAGGATTTGGGCTCTGTCTCAGCATCGAGGAAGGACCAGGCTCTGGCAGTCTCGCTGAGGGACAGGGGCAAAGCCAGCTCCAGACCACTGTAGAAAACATTTTTAAGTCAGTATAACCAGGTTAGATTCAATTTGCTACAGATTAATTCCCAAAGGAAAAAAGAAAGGAGGGGAAATGCCCTTGCCAGGCTGGCACCAGGCTGCAGCAGGACAGTCACCTTCCTGCAGGGCTGGGAATTGCCTTAGATTAGTGATTGACAGCCTGGAGTGACAGTCCAGACAAAACAGCAGCATTTGGCTGGCTGAACGTGAGACCCAGCTGAAGGAGAGACAGAGGCTGCAGTGAGCAGGGAGAAGGTGGAATGAAGAGCCAGCGCCAGAGAAAGAGTCCAGCTCTTGAGAATGGTTTAGTGTCTTTACCCATCTGCGTCTGAGGTCAGGCAGGAAACATCCCACACCCTTGGGCACAGGCAAAATTACCTTCCTCTCAACCCCTTTGGAGTGCAGAAATGAACTCAGGAACACCACTTTCCTTCCAGTCACCTGAAGGAGCCAGAGGAGGAATACAGGTGCATTGCCAGCCAGAGGCTGGGCAGGAACAGCTACAAGGAGCAGTACATCTTCATCTACAGGTGAGTGAGGCCCCTTGCCAGCAAGCCAGCCCTCATCCTGCCCTCTGGGTCCCAGCCCCACAGAGGCAGGCTGGATGGGGTGGTGTCTTTGCTCTGAGGGAGCTGGAGAGGTGCAGGCTGTGTGGGTGGGATGAGCTGTCCCTGGGTGTGGGGATCATCCCAGACACAGCCACCAGTGTTGCTGTATCTGTCCCAGACCATGGCCTGGGTCAGAGCATGGAGTCAGTGTTAGACATGTCCTATCGAGCCGCGAACGTGACGTCCCGTATCCTGTCCATTCTGCCGCAGGCAACATCTGGTATCGGTGAAACAAACCTACCAGTACCCTGACACCCAGCCTGGGGACGAGGATGTCTTCTCCAGAGAGCCCTTTGTCATCTGGTTCCAGTCTCCAAAAACCGGTGAGATGTCTCAGAAATGTGTCCTTGTCCCACTGGTGAGTCAGCAAGGCAACACTGGCTGGACCCAGGTGTGTCAGGGAAGGCTCAAGGGGCCTCATCCAGACCCCACACTGCTTTTCCTTCCAAGAGCAGCGTTTTGCCTGTCTGGGAAAGGCCACAGCCCCAGGAAAGTCTCTGCTGCCCCAGACAGTGGGCTGGTGGATGCACTCCCTGCCACTGGCACGGCCATAGGAGCAGCGATTGCCACGGGTGCCGGATCAGGGTTTGCCTGCACTGGCACAGCATCCCTGGCTCAGCTGAGTGCCTGGAGGGGGACACTGTGCAACCACACAGAGATTGCCCCTGGTCCACAGTCAGAACAGAAGCTCTTTCTTCCTCAGAAAAAAACCCCCTTGCTTCCAAGTTAGTCTGTTTCTTTGTGACTGATTCTCTATTTAACCATTTTTTCTGTTCTTCTGCCCTGTTTTTAAGCTGTCAGTGAGTTTGCTATAATCCCTCTGCACACCACACCAGACACTGCAGTGCGGGAGATTGATGAGCTCTACGATGTGTATTTAGATGTCAAACAGCGCTGGAAAACCGAGGTTGGTCGCTACCTCTGTGTTACTAAGAGGGCTTTGGTAGAGTCACCTGGCAGGCTATTCACTATTCACAGCTGATAACCTTAAACACACTGATAACGAGACCCAGGTTTTGAGTATCTCTGTGATGTATTTTCACTGAATTCTCCACATTTTGTACAGTAAATTTGATCTCCCAATAAGATTGTTATCAGCATACCCTGGTGTGCCCAGCAGAAAGGAGAAGTCCCACCGCACTCAGAGAGTGGCTGCTGTTAGAGCTGTAATGGCTACTGGAAGTATCAGTGGACCTTAAAAGTCCTTGTCAGTCTTCTTTTGAAGAGCTGTCCTCATGGTAACTTCTGAAAAACCTCTTACCTTCCAGAACTTCATCTTCATGGGAGACTTCAATGCTGGATGTGGCTATGTTCCCCTAAAGCACTGGAAGAACATCCGGCTGAGGACTGACTCTGAATTCATCTGGCTGATTGGTGACAAAAATGACACGACAGTGAAGAGCAGCACAAACTGCCCATATGACAGGTAAAGGGACACTGCCAAACCGCTCACTGGTTATGACTCTCTGAGTGAAAAAATAGATCAAAAGCTGTCAGTGACCAACAGAGAAAACAAATGTACATGAGGCCATCAAAGCTAAAATGGCGTCCAGGGAAAATGTGATCCAAATGCTTCTTCTAGTCAGGAGCACAGAGCACTTTGCAGACCTGTTGGTGAGCAGGTTTGGAGAACAGGCAGGATTTCAGGCAACAACCAGCTGTTGCTGTGGCTCAGGTGGGGATAGATGGCGGGCCATTCAGCAGCACTTCTCATCCTCAGGGAGACCTGCAGACAGCTGGAGGAAGGTGCTGCTACCTGCTCTGTGCCAGTTTTGCACCACGACTTTTGCTCTTACATTTGTAATTTGGATTGACAAATGCAAAGCCAGGTTCTGCTTGGGGATGGGGGGACACCTCACCTTCCTCTGGCATGTGGCAACTCCTGCTGCCACTGCAGTTCCCTCAGCAGGGACAAGCGATACATCAGCTCTTAGAACCCAGAGTCCTCTCGCAGAATGAGCTTCTGGATCTAAGGAGGACTTCACTGAGACTCCAGTCATTGGTGTCCTGTGCATTTTGTATCCAAAACAGGGCTTTCAACTTCCCAGCACTGGTAGGTGGGTTTAGACAGAAGTCATTTGTCATTAGCTTCCAAGCCAATGCATGCCAAGATATTTAGATGCCTCGCTGACAAGGAGGGACCTAAAGGAGGTGGCATCTCTGGTTGGGAAGCCCATGGATAAGGACAAACCATGCATAGCTGTGACTCCCTGCAGGTCACTCCTCCAGCCACCCCCTCATCTCACCAGCTGCTGCTGGTCAGGCACCTCATCACAGCACCCCATTCCCTTGGTCCTTGCAGGATCGTAGTCAGCGGGCAGAAGCTCATCCACGCTGTCGTGCCACACTCTGCCACTATCTTTGATTTCCAGAAGGACTTTCAGATGACTGAGGAACAGGTAGGCACAGCACAGCCCCTGCAGCAGCGGGGCAAGGGCTAACACAGGAGTGCAAAGCCAGCGGTGTCCAGGCAGTTCTGAACATGGTCCTGGCCATAAAACTGCTGCATCTTCCCAAAGGGATGCAATGCTTGCGTTGCACATCCCCACATCCATGTCCCACCTGGGACAGGGCTTGGAGAGACCAGGGCAGCCACTCTCAACCCTCTGTGCCCTTGTCTTGCAGGCACTGGGGGTGAGCGACCATTTCCCGATAGAGTTTGAGTTAAAAGCAAAAGGTGGCTTCTTCAACTGGCTGAGATCAAAGTTTTCAAGGAAGAGGAGGCCAAGGAAGAGCCTTCAGTCAAGACCATGACCGTGCTGAGTCCTCATCCATGGCGTGGAAATACACAAATGCCAACAGATCTCGTAGAAGACTGGTGTAAATATACTCACAGCAAGTGGACTCCCCCCCAAATATTTTGTTAAAGTTCAAATATTTTGGGTGAGAAGGCAAAATAAACCTTCATGTTGTTTTCTTATTTTCTGTATGCAGAAATAAACCAGCTAGAAGCAGCATACTCTACTTACTGTACCTGTTGGAAATGTAAGGAGCTACTACAAGGGTAAAATACTTCTGTGTGCTTTACCTGCAACACCTGAAGGGCAGGGATCTCCACACATTCCTGTGGGCTATGGAGCTCTGCCATTCCTCTGCAGGGGAGGAAGAATTAAAAGGGCTTTCTGCATCGTGTGTGTGGGGGGGGGGCCCGGGGGGGGCTATGCACTTCAGAGCTGCAGCCAGCAGGACTCAGGTCTGCGCCCTGGTGGTTTGCAATGAAGGATGTTGCTGAATTTAGAGTATTTCTCGGTGGGGGTTTGTAACTGCTCACAGCGTTGAGGGCTTAGGGAAAGACAGACATTAAAGACAGAGGGACAGGCAGCAAGGGCCCCTTTTCTGCACTCCCTCAGCCAGGAGCAGCAGGAAGCTGGTGGTTCTCACCCCTGCCTGCCTGCCCGCCTGCAAACCTAAGGTGAGACATCCTGTGGATACCAGGTGACTCTGCTGCCAACAAAGTATCATAAAATTCACATTAAAATCTGATTTCAGATCCTGACGTGGCAGTGAACTGCATTCCCCCCCTGCTCCAAGAAGCCCCTCTCCAATGCAGCTCGAAGCCCTCCAACGAACCAGATTTTAATGACGATTATTTAACGTAGTGGTGCAGCAATCTGTTTTCCTAGCTCAGCCCACAGGCTGTATTTAGTGCAAACCAAACCCTCTCACACAGATGGCATCCGAAAAGTGGGAATAATCCAACTGTTAGTAGAGGCAAATATTCATCTCCCTTCATCAGTGAGCCCTGGGTTGCCTGCTGAAGGGGCAGGGAGGGCAAGCAAGCAAGAGGGGCTTTGTGAGGAGGAAAACAGTTTGGCCTTTGTGAAACTGTTCAGTGAGAAATGAATTTGAAGAAAGAAACTAAATCAAGAGAAAATGATCCCAGGGGTATGTGTGTAAGGCAGACAACAAATCCTCCAACTTTCAGTAGCAATTAACTTGAAATCATACAGCATTTCATAAGCTCCCTCGGTTATACTGCAATCAAGGCAAAGGAAAGAGCCTGATTTAGAACAAATATTTACATTGAGATTTTTATAGAGATGCCACTGTCTGGCTGACAGCAATGATGCCTCATGTGAAGGCTGAAGTCAGTCTGAGTCTCTGGCCTCATGTCTTGCTCCTACGTAAGTCCCTTCTGTCTCTTGGCTTTCAGAAAGGAACAGTGCACAAAGGAATAAATCACGCTCCAGGAAAGCCATAATGGGCACATTCAATCATGAAGAAGATGTAATTATGACTAAGTTTTACTGAAAATATTTGTCCTTATTTGCGATATTGAACATAGTCCTTTACCCAGCCTTTGAAGATAAGAGAGCAGCCTTGGGAGTGATGTCAGTGCCTGTCAGCTTGGAGCTGTGAGCTGGGTTTGACTGGGATAGAGTGAATTTTCTTCACAGTAGTTGGTCTCTCACACAGTTTCTGCCTCTCACCCCACCAGTGAGTTGCTTCGGGGTGCACAAGAAGTTGTGAGGGGAGATCAGACCCCCAGTGACACAAGGGATATCCCACACCATATGGAGACACACAGCACACAGAGCTCGGGGAAGAAGAAGGAACAAGAGGACTTTGGGAGTAATGGTGTTTGTCTTCCCCAGTAACCATTACGTGCGATGGAGCCCAGATTTCCTGGGGGTGGCTGAACACCTGCCTGCCCATGGGAAGCAGTGAATGAATGCCTTGTTTTGCTTTGCTTATTAAACTATACTTTTCTCAACCTATAAGTTTTGTCAGTTTTGCTTTTCTGATTCTCTCCCCATCCCACTGGCAGGGATTGAGTGAGGGCTGTGGGGCTGAGGTGTCAGCTGGTGAGAGACAGCTTAATACAAAATGGTGCTCCCCCATGGAGAGCTGGGACACGGTTTTGTGGAATTCACAGCAGAGAGACAACGTCTGCACTCGGATTGTAATGTTTGATAGGGGTGGGAGGTGCCCAAAGCTCCTACTGGCAGCACAGTCTCTATAGATATTCCTGTGTTTATTCCATACATTCATTAGACATATTATAATTATATCCTAAAATGTTTAACAGTTCATGTCATCTCTAGATTTTCCTCACTGGGGATCATTACCCAGCTGTCCCAGCTGCAAAGGGGTTTTCAAGTTGTTCCAGCCTGCAGGAGCCTTGATATATTCTGCAGCCAGAACAAAGATTCTCTTTTTGATGAATGAGGCTTCTTGAATTTAATTTATGATCAAACAGAAGTTTTACACTGGGAATCCAAAATTCCTGGAAAGACTTTGTCTCATGCAAGCCAGGTCTCAGATCATGGGAAAGAAACAAAGAGGCTCTTCAGAAACTGAAAACTCCCAGCAGCCCTGGCCAGGCAAGAACACAGAGCAGACAGGGTTCAGCTGAACAAAAAGTGCTAAGACCCCTCAGGTTTGGGTCCTTGGGAAGCCCTTCTCCAATGTATCGTGCTGGAGGCATCCTCACTTCTTGCAGACCCAAGGTCTCCACTGCCCCACAGAGGGATCCCTCCCAGGCCACAGAAGGTCCCTGCTGCCCTGCTGCTGGGATGGAGCCTACCTCCTTTTGCCTCCTTGGAGCTACCGGCAGCAGTGAGCACACAGGAGAGCTGGCACAAGACCCCAGGAGATCCTCACTTGTTCATTCAGTGTCTGTACATCCCCCAGCACAGACTGATGGATCATGCACTGTGATTGAGCCTGCAGCATTAGGGGAACATTAAAAAGTTATATATAAACCATCATCAAGCAAACATGCTGGGATGTGCTGTTTAACAAACTGGACAGAAGGATAGGGGTCATCTGGACCAGGGGTCGTCCCCTTTCTGCACCATGGTAAGTGAACCCAGTTCTTAAGCCCTTGGGCACAGCAATATCCATGTGCAGCACAGCCTCTCTCATTTCAGTTTACATCCACATTTGTTTTGCTTTCCTGAAAGTTTGTGCATGAATGCACACAGACATGAGCAATTCAAGCCTGAACACCCTGCAGAGCTCCTGCTTCTTCCCCGCCACACGGGCAATGGGTGAAGAGAAGGAGGTGCCAAAGCCACCACTGATGGTATTTGGGCTGGGACACATACACATCCTGTGCCTGGACATACAGATCACAGAATCAAAGAGCAGTTTTGGTTGGAAAAGACCTTTAAGATCATCGAGTCCAACTGTTAACCCAGCACTGCCAAGGCCACCACTAACCCATGTTCCTAAGCACCACATCCCGTTTTTTGAACACTTCCACAGACAGTGATGCCACCACGTCCCTGGGCAGTCTGTGACAGTGCTTGACAGCCCTTCCAGTGAAATATTTTCCCCAGTATCCAATCTAAACCTCCCCTGGTGCAACCTGAGGCCCTCTCCTGTAGTCCTGTCCCTTGTCACTTGGGAGAAGAGACTGACCCCTACCTTTCCACACCCTTTTTTCAGGGAGTTGTAGAGTAATAAGGTCCTTCCCAACTTCCTTTTCTCCAGGCTAACCCCCCTCAGCTCCCTCAGCTGCTCGTCACAAGATGTGTGCCCCAGACCCTTCACCAGATGTACACCTGTACAGATATTTGGCCACATACAGATGTGCAGCAAACGACGGAGCTGCAGCCCTAGAAAGGCTGTGTTGTGCTGTTGCACAGCAGGGCCGGTAGCACTGATAGCAAATCAAAGGCAGAAAAATCAAAGAGCCTACCAGTGTGGGATTGCTAAAACCAGCAGTTGGTCCAAGCCCAGCTGCTTCACAGCTCCCTCAGCCTCTGGAGGGATTGTGGGGAGCACTCCGTGCCCCAGGCTGGACTTGGCCACTCACCGACTGAGCATCTGCCCCAGAAAAGGACCAGGAGGGGAGCAAAGCCTCCCTGGGCAACCCATGGAGAGCTCTTCCGATTCCCTCGCAGCCCAGAGCTCAGTGGTCCCTGGGGGGGCTTTTCTCTGCCAAGCAAGTTGGGGAGATGGAGAGCGGGAGGTGAGGACAACAGTCCTATTTCTCCTGCCTTTATTCAAAAGGAAAACAATTTGAAAAAATCGCTTTTTCCCTCCCCTCTACCTATGGGTCGTTAAAAGCATTTGCAAACCTCCGTCAGCCCCCAGGACAAGGCGTTTTTCCCTCCTGCGGGGCGCCCGCCCCCTGCCCGCGAAGCGGAGCCAGGTACACATTAAATATTGCTAGAGCCCCCTCTGGTGGCATTGCTGCGAGCTCCCAGCGCCTGGGAAATTCACACCCACACCCCTAGCACGGCCACCAAACCCAGCCGCGCCGAGGAAGCGGGATTTCACACTTCACTGGGAGCTCATGGAGCTGCATCCCCCCGTGTATCTCCATGCAGACCTCTGCACTCGCTGCAGAGAGGCTGACCCCCATCCCTGAGCCCACCACGTCTGTAAATGAGTTCTGCAACAAAAAGGGAGCGCTCCCTTGGCTCCAGGGCTGGTTATTCATTGCACAGGGTTACTTAACTGGGAACGTGCTGCGATGACCTTCGTAAGGCAGCCCTGCTTGCAGGCAGTGGCTCCCAGGACGTGGTGCTGGCAGGTTACAGGACACATGTTCCCCAGGGACCCCGTGGTGTCCCTGCCATACCTGCCCCAGGAGCATCAGGGCAGCTGGCTGTGTCCAGCAGCAGCCACAGCCCTTCCTGCCTGCCCAGCTCCTCAGGATGTCTTCCAGTGACTGTGCTTCTGCTCTTTGGTGGTTTGTCCCTGGTTTTGGGGAAGATGTGAGGCTGTTCTGGCCACCAGCACCACCATCCCTTCACAGGTGCCACCAACCCCTTCTCCAGTGCCAGAGTCACAGAATATCCTGAGTTGGAAGGGACCCACAAGGATCATTGAAGTTCAACTCCTGGCCCTGCACAGGACAACCACAAAAATCACACCATGTGCCTGAGAGAATTGCCCAAAGGGTTTGTGAACTCTTCAGGCTTGATGCTGTGACCACTTCCCTGAGGAGCCTGTTCCAGTGCCCAATCACCCTCTGAGAGAAGAATATTTTCCTAATATCCAACCTAACCCCCTGAGCCGAGTTTAGCCCACGCTCCTCTCCATCATCCCAAGGGACACAACCTCTGCACTCTCACCTGGTATATAATCACAAGCACCCTTTCTCTGCATGCTGGTTTTCAGCTGGTGAGAAAAACAAGGTTAAATACTTTGTGTATCATTTTAAATATAATGTCTCAACTGTCAGTGTTCGCAGGGGTAATTTTCTGTTAGACAGGAGACAGATTTATAGGAATTAATTTTGTGTTGGCAAAGTAACCAGAAACCTTCCCTGAAAAGCTCTGCAAATCCAGCATTGAGACATGACTGCTTTTTGTGCCTCTCTGCTGGGAGGAGGGCCTGACCCCAGCCATTTTTGGGGAAGCCAGATGCAAAATCCCACCCCCCAAATAAAACACCCTAGCTGGATATCACTGTCAGAAAGAAATACCCCCCTGGCAGGGCCAGCTTCTCCATGGGGCCCAAAGGACTCACAGGCTTCCAGCCCAGCAGGGATGTAAATATTTGCAGTACCAAGGTCCTGCAGAAAGGCAGCTCAGCACAGGAAAGAGCTGTCAAACATACCTCTGGGCCCTGCTAAATCATATTTTCCTATTAATTTTTTTTCAAAAATCATAAATACTAGCCTTTCGTTCATGTTATATAAAGAATGTGCTTTAAATTTCAGTCAAATTAATAGCGACAGGAGCTATAAATCCACCCTGATTTAGTGACAATGTTTTTTCTAAGTGCACAATATAAATTCACAACCACGAAAATTAACTCTGAAAGTCTGAGAAATTCTGAAAAGCCATTTAAAAGCATTTTCCCAGGAGGCTCTGGGGAAACAGCCCAGCACAAGAGGGGGGACTGGCAGCGGGGCTGTTTTGATAACCTTCAGTGAAAGGGACCTGGGAATATTAACCATTACTGGAGGCTGTGGAGGAAGAAATTGCTGTTGCCCTCCCTGCTGCTTTTCCAGCTTGGATGGAGCCGTGAAGATGTGGCATCTCACTGTGGGGGGAGGATGGGAATGGGGGAGCCTTTAAGTCACTGTAACATGGGGAGAAATTACTTTTAAAAACAAACCTTTGCTTACAGGAGTTTGGGATGCCTAAAGGTTCAGGTACCAGGCGGGTTTGCTCCCAGCTTGCAGCACTACAGCAGGTCTGGGTGCCCTGGTGCATGTCCTGCACCACTGCTGTCAGCAGCAAAATTCCAAATGCTCCTTTGTGCTACTCTGGATATGGACAGGAGATGTGAAAAATAAGAAAAATAATTAAAAAAAGAAGGTCTCTCCAAGCCAGCAGGCACAGAGCACAGAATAAACACCTGGGGATGCTGCCGGCAGCTTTGCAAGACCCCATCCCTTCCATGCCAGTGGGTCCAGAGCTGTCCCTGACTTGGCAGAGCCCAGACTGGGCAGGCAGTTTCATTTGGCTCATGGCAGAGCATGGTGCAGCCAGCTGTCATAATAACAAATGGTTTGCAAAGAGTCTCTCCTCAAACAAACAAAAAACACTGTGTAAAAAAGCATCGTGCCATTGCCCGAGTTAAGTTTCAGGTAACTCGATCCCAGTTTCTGTCAAGTGATGTCTGTTTATATGTAGCCACCTTGGACAGGCTTTTAAAGGTGATTTATACATAGTTTGTTCCCTCTTTTTTTTTTAGGTGAGAAAGGTGCATTGTCTGCACTGCAAGTACATTTCAATGTAGGGTAAAAAAAACAAATTGAAAAATAAAATC